AACCATGACTAGATCTGAGAAACTTCCTGATGTGATTGCCACCAGGTGCCCGAAGTAAGGTGCCTTCAGGGTCTGTACAAATAGCTTCCGAGTTTTATTTTCATCCAATGGTGGATGAACTTGCATAGATAAATCCCTCAATCATTGTGTGTATTGTCGGAAACTTTCATTGTGCTATTTCTCCAAGCTTTGTAGCATAACCCGGTCTGGTCTCATATCGTTGACGTGCTTGTATTGTTCCAGAAATGACTTTACCAGGTCTTTCCAGGTCTTGATATATTATCGGCTTAGCTGATTGTACCACCGGATAGCTGAACCGGACAGGCTCTCCTAGAAGAAGTGGATTAGGAGTTGGTCATTTCCCACATACCCTGTCATTTTCTGACATAACATGATGATGTGGGCTGAGGGGAAACTGTTCCCGTCGAACTTCTCGAACTCAGGGACCTTGAATTTCGGAGGAAGAACCAAGTCCGGGACTAGACTGAGCTCCGCGACATCAACTCCATGGTAGTCATTATCTCCTTTAACTACCTCTATTTGGTCCTCCAATTGCTTGATTTTCTCCTCTATCTTCTTTGATTTGTCCTCTTCATCTGAATCCGGTGTATAGTAATAACCCGGATTGTTCTCAGGGTTAAATATAGAGGATGAGGGCTTCGCTTTTGCAGTAGATGAGTCCCTTCAAAGTTCCGGTATGATTTCAGGTGAGACAACTACTTGTGGGGTAGGTGGTATAGTTACCCCTTCTGGTGAACCTGCCCCAGACGCACTGGTTTGTTGTAGGCCATCTAACTTGGCAACAATCTGATCAACCAGGGACTCTTGGTTCTTCATTATTGTATTAAGAGTACTCATACTACTCTGGTTTATCATATCTTCTAGCTCTCTCTAGAGCTTCAACATGTTCTCCTCGATCTGAGCAATCTTGGCTTCCATTTTTTTCTTTTTCAGGACTGCATCTCCGGCCTTCACTCTATGTCGAGCTTGTTCCAAACGAAAGTTCCATTGGAGCTATCCATCTAAAGCTTATCGACTTGTTTCTGGAATTCATCTTGTTCTCGTAGTTTTCGAAAGGACTCTCCGGGTCAGTAACTTTTTCCTCGTCTTGCCCCTACAACCTTTGACTCTGAGTATTCTTTGACCACAACTGGGCTTCTGAACTTTTTATCTCTTTGTATTATAATCCCTTTATCCATTAATGTAGATTATTCATGTTTAAAAAACACGTTTTTTATGGATCAACACCTCGTCTAAATGATGTGAATGATAAAAAAATGAAAAGGAACAAAAATGAAAGAAAATAAAAAGTTAGTGAGATAAGGATAATAATAAAAAATGATGAAAATGAAAAGTCCTACCCCACATGATATCTACTCCATGTGCTTATTATTCCTACCTGGACATGATCTCTATCCCACATGCTAATTTCAAACAAATCATAACCGCATATTTGTCTAATTCGCATGCTTTGAACAAAAAAAAAGCAGGAAATAAAAATACCTAGGGTTTGAAATAAGGTTTTGGGGTGGGCTCTAATTCTCCATAGTCTCCCGGTTTAGGTTCTAAAAGAGGTACCCGAGTTGTCCTTGCTGGTGCTCCCTTGGGCTTGCCAGACCCTTAGTCCTAAACCCATCACAGGTTTGTGTGGACTAAGTTAAACTCGAGAGGACACATTCCCTTATTCCCGCACGGTGAATAAATTCACACGAAGACATAAGGTATATGAATCCCGAAGGCTACTAGCTAGGCCCGCACGGTGAATAAATTCACACGAAGCCGTCGCCTTCACCCCTATTTAAAATAGGGTTCAGAGCTCGGGTTTAGAGCCTTAGATGAAAAATCTTTAAGGGCTGAAATCATTAGAAAACGATTAGTACAACTATTTACTCAAAAAATATAATCAAAAGTAAGCAATAAGGATCGAAATGTTACCTTAAAATTTAAACTTACCCTTTTCGTTAAAAGACAACTGGAAATTACCTTAGCCTGACTCGCTTACCTCTCCCCAGCGGAGTCGCCAAGCTATCGAGACCGTCTTTCGGTTGGGCCCCGGAGTTGGGCTTCGACTTAGATTAAATGGATTAGGAGTCACCGCCGATCATTTATTTTATTAAAAATGGGTTGATCGGATACCTTATTTCTTACCTGATCTGCGTCTTACCAGTGATGTGTCGGATTTGGGAGTCGGTTACAGTCAAGGAAGGGTTAGCACCCTTGAACTGCCCTTTCGGTACTACATAATTTCCAGTTGTCTTTAATTAAGAAAATTGTAACCTTTAATTAAAAGCTAAAAGTTGATCCAAATTACTTACCTTAGATTGATTTAAATTATGCCCTTAAAAAATCAAAAATTGTGTTTGAAAAAAAAGGTAATAAAAAGAATAAAATAAGAATCAAATGAAATAAAGAAGATAAAAAAAGTAAAGAGATAAAGAAAAATAATGATAAAATAAAGATGAAAAAACATAATGATAGGAGACATATCATAAAGGAAAAGAAAGAGAACATAAATGAGTAAAATAAACAAAAATAAATGAATAAAAAAATAAGAAGATGACGTGAATAAAATATAGGAAAATAATGGTAAAAATGATATATACATAATAGATAAATAAATAAGAGCAAGAGAAAAAAATGAAAAATAGATATGAAGAAAACAAAACCATAATAATAATACATACATACATACATACTAATATTAATATTAATAAAATAAATAAAAGGAAAAGAAATTATATATGTTAAATAATACAATATGATATTTAAATAAAATAAATAAATAAATATATATATATATATATAATAATAAATGTATAGATGCATATATAATTAAGTATTAGAAAGAAGAAAAATAAGGAAACAAAATAATAAAATAGATATAATATATATATATATATATATACAATAATAATGGGGTCAATTTGAATCAAAAGTAAAACTCAGGGGCTAATTTAAAAGGAAATTCGGCTAAAATTGATTGGAAGGGGCAAAATTGAATTGTTTAAAAAACAAGGGCGACTGAACATAAATTCACCCCTTTTGTTTCTCAAAACACGCGGGTCACCAGGCATTGAGTCGGGTCGGTGGGCATCCGTGGGTTGAATATATAACTCAATAAACACAAACAATTTCCATTCTTAAAACCACCCCTCCCTTGGATCAAAATCAGAAAACCCAAAACCTCTCGCATGTTCTTGCGTGTTCATCAGGCGGATGAATAAGCCGCCATGCTTTCCAAAACACGGCCACATGCCGCCTCGTCGACCAACGTTGATCGGCGCCGGCCGTCGATCATCTGTGGCAAAAATAAAAAAGTTTTCGTTTTTTTCAAAAGATTTTCACACCCTTATTCCAAAAATGCGATTTTTAAGGAGCGTATATCTGAAGTTAAAGTTCCGAAAACTCCCTTTTGGTCATTGGCTCAAAACGTTTCCCTTTGGGGTTTATTTGAACAAAAATAGTGAGAAAACAAACGCCACACCAACATGCAAGCCAAACAACAACACAAAGGTAAGGTATTTCCCCTTTGTTACCTTCGAAACTTTGCAAAAATGCTTGGATTGCTTCTTGAAGTTGCTCGAAAATTTCTGTTTGTATTTCGTATTTCCAATCGTAGTATTACAAACAAATGGATTACATGTATTTATAACCTTAGATTCGGCTATTTTTAGAGTCCGATTTGGACTAAACTACTCTTATTTTAGCGTTTGATTCCTACTAAAACATTGTCTGCTAATGGGTTTGTTGTCCGTGGCCGAGAATCTCGATTGTTGGAGGCGAGACGTGCGGCGTTGGGGCTTGCTGCGTAAGGATCCCTCAAGAGAACGACACCGTGGAGCAAAGGTTGCTAGGTTCTGGAAACCCTATAAGGGTCTGCTGTAGACCGTTGGATCACACCTTGATCCAATGGTCAAGGTGCTTGGCGGCTGGATGAGAGATTGAGAGATTAGGGTTCATACAACCCTAATCCATACTAGTTTGGGTTGCACATGATGTTGGGTCTGTACAAAGTGTAATAAAACCCAAAATAAATGAAAAATAAACATATATATTTATTATATAATATAGTTTATAAATATATTATATAATATTAATGTTAATGGTCGAAATTCGGTGTCTTCAGTATATATGCAATGTTAATTAATTAAAAAAGTTATGAACAAGTATTATCTTATAATTATTTTAGACTATTGAAAACAATAGAAATATGTTTATTTTCTGAAAATCGTAATTTATAATTTATTTTATTTTTTCTATTTATATATTATGTTTTTATTACCTTTATAATTTTTAAATTTCCCTCTATTTATAATTTTTTTAAATTTAATAAATCTCTCCGGTTTTTTATGATAAAAGGTAAACCACGTATTCAACTAATAAACTATTCTTGTGGTTTCATTTTGGTCATATAACTATTTTTCTTTTCAAAATTATAACTAAACTTATTTTTTGTTTTGTTTGGTTACTTGCCATTAAAAATTTAACAGTGATGTTAATATGTTATCATAATTCAATTTCATGTCATCATTAAAAAATAAAAAGATTATTACATCAATTATTCTATTTATTTTTAACGGGTAACCAAAACAGAATTAAAAATATAAGTTTAATTGTTAATTTTTTTAAAAGTTAATTAAATAACTAAAATAAAATTACAAAAAATATTTGAATGAGTGAATTCATAATTTACACTATAATTATATTTTATGATTATGACATATCATCTTAACAAAAAAGGTTAATATTACATTCAAAATAATTATAACTTAGATATTCAAACAAAAATAAAATTTAAAGGATTAATAGTGAATTAAACCAACATTAATTTACGTGACATAGTGAAATGGAGTGCATACATGTTCGTTCCACCTCTGCGTTCTAAAATTCCATTGGTCAGAGAGCGTGGAAGCTCAAGCAGACGCCACGTGTACCCAGCGGCTTTAAGGGTCAGGACCTCGAACCATCTGGAAGATTTCCAAATCTCCGCGAAACAGAAACTATTTAATTTTGCAACTGTCATCTTTTAACTTGTAACTCTCCCTCTCTGTTTCTTCATATAATCCACATCCCGATTCAAAAATTCCCCAGCAGCGTTTCAGGTTTTTTTCGAAGATGAAAATTCGATGGCCATTGTCTATTGCCTTCTTTTCAACGCTGTTAATTTTACACGGTGAAGCCAAAACTACTGATCCTTACAAGGTAGGGAAAAAGGGATTTCTGCTTTCTATTTGTTTTGTATTCCGTTCTTGCTATAGTTTTTTGCTTAGATTTTCTGGGAGGTTGTAGATTTGTGAATCGGAAGAATCGTCTTCTTGCTATTTTTTTTATTTGCTCTTGATCTTTCTTTTGAGTGCTTTAATGGAAATTCTGAAACCTAATATGCTTTCTTGAAATTCAACGAGGATATCTTTGTAGAGATTTAGAAAGAACTTATTTTATGTTAGAAAGAGCTTCAGCTCATTGATTACATTTACAGGAAAAGTAAAATAGTTTCTAATGAATCTACTTGATCCGCAGGTTCTTGGCGTGGAGAAAAACGCCAGTCAAAGAGAGATTCAAAAGGCTTTCCACAAGTACGTTTTACTTTAAATTTGTTATCTATTATTAATTGTCTTCTAGGTTCTGAATTATTCCTTTATTTTTTTTTTTACCTATGTCTCCAGGATACTGTACATCATTTCAGTGATTAATGTTCCATTTGTGGCATTACCCTTTCGCTGTATTCTTTCATTTCGTCTTTGCTCTTTTTCAATGTAGATTGCTTTTGTCATTTGATACCAGGAATTGTGCTGATTCTTTTGAACATGCATTTATTTGTTTTCATTTTTTTATTAATTGTAATTTATCAGGCTTTCCCTTCAGTACCACCCCGACAAGAACAAAAGTAAAAGCGCACAAGAGAAGTTTGCTGAGATCAACAACGGTAAAATGAACTTCTTACTATTAATCAATCTTGGCCTACATGTTTTCTGAATGATATAGCGTAGATGAAATTTTTTTAAATTTATGAATAAAAGTGGATTTTGTCATTGGACCTTTGAATTTTTGCCACTCCTTTTGTCTGCTATCAGGATATTTGATTCTTCCTTCTTGTTTGATCAGCATATGACATTTTATCGGATGAGCAGAAGAGAAAAAATTATGATATGTATGGTGATGAAAAAGGTGACCCAGGATTTGATGCTGGGCACCCTGGGGATCATGGTGGACATACTTTCTTCACTAGCGGCGGACCTGGACAAAGTGGGTTTACATCAGGACCAGGTGGATGGCAGCACATGGATGGGCAGGGAAGTTCCCAGAGTTTCTCATTTTCCTTCAGTGACCCTGGTGGATCACGCTCTTTTAGCGGCCATGGTGGTGGACCAGGTTCCTTTGGTTTTGATGTTGACGACATTTTCTCAGGCTTCTTTGGGGGTGGTATGAAAGATCAATTTGGCGGTTTCGGAAGTTCAAGCAGGTCTCAATATCAGTCTGGGAGTTCATCTCACTCTCAACCTAGGAGTTCACCTAAGAGCATTAGAGCAATAAATTCTGAGATCTTCAGGAAAGAGATAGCTGACCAAGGGATGACTTGGCTTTTGTTATTTTATACACCTTCATTGCAGGGGAAACAATATTTTGAATCTATCATAGATGAGGTGGCCAGTTTATTACCAGGAGCAATAAAGGTACTGTGGCATTTTTATTTTTTTCACGTAATTTGTATTTGATAGCCAGTGCTTCCATTAACTCACCTTTCTTTTTGTCTCTTGTTAGGTTGGGAACATAAATTGTGAAACTGAGTTGTCTTTATGTAAAGAACTGGCCGCACGTCCAGGGAGAGCTCCAAGGTTGTTTGTTTACTCGTACAAAGGAAGTGAGAAGGGCTCTCTTGAAGAATACAAGGGTGATTTAATGGCTAAGAATGTCAAGTCATTTTGCCAAGATCATTTACCTAGGTTTTCAAAAAGAATAAGCTTAAAGCATTTTGACTTGTCTAATAGTAATGTAGATAAACACCCTAGGGTGATGCTTCTTTCTACCAAAAAGGATACACCGGTAATCTGGCGTGTTCTCAGTGGATTGTATTACAAAAGATTCACTTTCTATGATGCAGAGGTATGATTCCAAGATCTTATTGTTCGGAATTCTTACATGGAAGTACTGATCTTTTAAACCTTATTTGAACTAGAAGCAAATCTAGCCTATTCAATTTTGTGCTTGGGAAAAGATAAGGTGTTGCACAGAGCTAGATACTTCAGAAATTTAGAGAAGTGATTTACTATTTAATTGATTTCTTGCTAAGTCCAGACTCGTTCATTATTTATGTAGGTTCACGATGTTTCTGATCCAGTTGTGAAGAAGTTAGGTGTCAATGAACTTCCTGCTATAATTGGGTGGCTGTCCAATGGAGAGAAGCACATTCTGAAATCTGGTATTTCTGTAAAGGATTTGAAGTCTGCCATCAAAGATCTCAGTTCGATGCTTGATAGTTTCGAGAAGAAGACTAAGAAGGTAGCTAGTGAAAAACAGACGGGTTCCAAGGAGGGACAGTTACCTTTGTTGACAGCATCAAACTTTGATGCTCTTTGTGGGGATAAAACTCCTGTCTGTATTATTGGTGCATTCCGATCGACCAGAGCTAGGGATAAGCTAGAGTCCCTTTTATCCAAGGTGAGATTAATTCCTCCTTTCAAAGAATATACATATAAAGGTGCCAGAGAAATGTTATGATTAATTTAGTTTTCTCACTGTTGAATGATATGTACTTTCAGGTTTCTCAGAAATCCCTATCAAGGAGACAGAATGCGGTATCGGGTTCTAGGGATTCTGTGTCCTATGTCCTCTTAGATGCTACGAAGCAACAATCATTTTTAGGTGCACTCGACAAACCTGGATTTAAATCAATGGATAATTTCCTGGTGGCGTATAAACCTCGGAAGGGGAAGTTTGCTGCATTTACAGGTGAAATGAGCATCGAAGAGGTAGAGAGGTTCGTTAGCGCCGTTCTTAATGGAGATGTACAATTCACCAAGACAAGGCAGAAGCCAGTTCTCAAGTGAACCAGTCGATCATTAAGAATTCAGTTCTGGTTCCCGAACACCATGTACAGTGTGTAAAGATTTCACACCTACACTATGTGAACACACCTTGGCTCCAACATGCCCACCTTGAGTGTGGGGTGTTCTTTCATTATACACAATCTCTGACAAACTTGCATAATGCAAGGGGTGATGACACACACGGGACATTTTTGTCGCATTTCTTGTAGAGTAATATATCATTTAACATGCTATTGTACTTGGGCAATAACAATTTACAATATGGAAAAAGAAAATCAATATTTTACTTTACTCGTAACACTTGACATGGGGAAGGACAACAAGTGATTGTAGTTGTTATATGCACTGTTAAATCAAATCTTTTGAATTGCCTCCTGAATATGTCTCAGAACACTTCTACGTATAAGCTAAAGCAAGAAACTTTACAACTTAAGCTTTCTTGTTTCATCCACCTTACGGTTATTGTGCTGCCTCGCTTTGTACTTGTATATATACCACGTATGGAAATCTTAAATTGGTTAGAAAACAAACAAGTTAATCGAGGAACCATTATAAATTTATAATAAACATATACAGAAGGGTAATCAACTCTAAAAGAGAACGATAGTCGGTTTTCTCTGGGTGCACGTTAGCAGGACTAACGTTTTCTGGGATCTCCGTCGTTGCTCCGGTGGGTTCATCTGGTCTTCTCGATCTTTCTCAGTCTCTCTCCATCGTTCCTGTCTGACTTTTCTTCATGGATTGGAGGAAATTGTTCGTGCACTCGTTAGGGCAAGACTTAGAATTTTTCCCCCTAAATCGCGCGATGGTTCTCCGTTGGTACAACCGCCACTTGAGGTCTTTGAAGAGGGGATTGCAAATTGGAAGCTTTCGTAGTTGGACAGTTTCTTGGGCCTCCTCCTAACTTTACCACTTTGCAAAAAATTGTAGATTTCATGGGGAAGAAAGCTCTCAAAGGCAACAGTGCTCAAATTAGCTTGGCAGGTAACAACATCTACATTTTCTCGTTTAATTCTGAAGCTGAAAGGAATTGAGTGTTAGAAAATGGCCCCTGACATATCTTTAATAAGCCTTTGATCAGTAGGAAATGGGAGCCAAATCTGAAAAAATTAGACTTTGATCTTACTAAAATCCCAGTGTGGATTCATCTTTACAATGTGCCATTAGAACTTTACTCTAGAGCAGGGCTAAGCTATATTGCAAGTGGCATCAGAGTCCCACTATCTATGGACTCTGTTACTGCTTCTAGGAAAAGGTTAGAGTATGCTATGTTATGCATTGAGATTGGTATTGATGATAATATTCCTGAGTATGTGGATGTGCTTCTGAATGATGGAATTGTTACCTCAATTCTTGTTGAGGTACCTTGGCTTCCACCACACTGTAAAAATTGTAGAGTGTTCGGGCATAGTGATAAAAATTGTACCAAACAAAAACATGCAGCTCATTTAACGACTCAAATATGGAAAAAGAAAGTTGTTACTCTAAATAATCCTGTAGTAACTCCAGTAGAAGGAGGAATGGAACTTCTTCAGGAGAGTTTGCAAACAGTAGATAATGGAGCAAAGGAAAAAAATAATTAAAGATGGTTGTTCTGGTTCTGGTACTAACCACGTTGATGTTACGGATACTACTGCTGTCGTTAATTCTGTCTCTAATGATAACATTGATGCTACTGTCACAAATGAATCTACTACTTCTGACCCTCATCTGGACAACGTTAATACTGACCCTGAACCTTCTATTGTTAAGAAGAATAGAGGTAGGCCCCCAAAAGATAAGCCGAAAACAGTTATTGTTGGTTCCACGAACAGGTTTGCAGTTTTATCTGCAGCTGAAGCAAATGTTTCTTCACCTACAGAGGCTCCTTTGAAGAAAAGAGCCGCATCGTCTGGAGTGGCTGCTCTAGTAAATGAACTGAAATCAAAGAAAAAAGGACAGAATGAACAAGGTTAAGCATATTGAAGTGAGTAGTAATGTGGCTGCCACTTCTAATTCATCCCAATGATTATTGGATTTTAGAACATTAAAGGTCTTAATAGTCCTCTAAAATAAGTAAGTGTTCTGAATAGAGCTACCCTTAATAAGATTGATGTTTTGTGCCTCTTAGAAACTAGAGTGAAAGCTAGTAATGCTCTTGCTATTCTTGACACTAAATTTGAGCATTGACATTCTATTACTAACTATGATTTTGCTGACAACGGAAGGATTTGGATCCTTTGGAAAAAAAAGTTTGAACTTTTCTGTTACTCATGTTTCTAGTCAATGTATCTCCATCAAAGGTCAATACCTCAGTACCCCTCTCATTATTACAGCGATCTATGGTAGTAATGATGGAATTCTCAGAAGAAATCTCTGGCAGTCTCTTTCTGATTTGGGCAGATTGTATGGTAACCTCCCTTGGGTTTTGGGTGGAGATTTTAATGTCATCCTTAACTCCAATGAAAGCTCTAACTCTTCTTTTTTAGGGTTGTTTCTCTCTTCCGACATGAAGGGATTCCAAGATGCTCTCTTTGACTTAGATCTTTGTGACCACCCTTTCTTTGGCCCCACATTCACGTGGAGCAACAAATAGCAAGACTCTTACCTTGCTAGGAAGCTCGACAGATTCATTGTCAACCATAAGTGGTTTATCTCCTTTTCTAAATCCCATGTCGAATTTCAAGCTCCGGGAATTTCTGACCACTGTTTGGTTATTACTTGGTTAACTAAAGATACTCATGTTAATCGCCCAAAGCCTTTTAAATTCTTTAACTTCTGGGCTCAACATCCAGAGTTCATGAATGTGGTTAGAGAATCATGAAAATCTTCTTCTCAAGGCAACCCCATGCAGAATCTATTTTTCAAGTTAAAGCTCCTTAAAACTAGATTGAAATATCTTAATCAGCTCTACTATAGTGACATTTCAGCTCATGTAAAACATAAGAAATTGGAGTTGGAAACTCAACAACTTTTATCACTAAGAGCCGAAGATTCCTTCCATAAAGAGCTTCTTTTGCAAAATGAATTGAAAAAATTAGAAGAGGCTGAAAATATTTTCTTAAGGCAAAAGGCTAAAGTTTAATGGCTTAAAGATGGTGACAAGTGTACAAAGTTCTTTCATTCGACAGTTTCTACTAAATCCAAGAGGGAAACAATCAGAGTTCTTATCGATGACAAAGGAAACAGACTCGAAACCTATGATACAATGGCTTCCTAATTGATTGAGTATTTCACAAACTTGATTGGAACTGAAAATCCAGAAATTAAAGTTTGTGACCAGAATTTACTTCAGGAACTTCTTCAGTACTCTATTCCTTCTGATTCTTCCAATGCTCTTACGAAAGATGTAACTAAAGATGAGATTAAGGAAGCGTTTTTTTGGTCAAGGTAATGAAAAAGCTCCAGGACCAGATGGCTACACTTCTTATTTCTTTAAGAGTACATGGCCTATTATTGAAGAAGATGTGGTTGCTGCGATTACTCAATTTTTCAAGGATTCTTATATGTTGCCCGCTTTCAATTCGACCTCTATCACTTTGGTTCCTAAAGTCCATAATCCTTGTAAAGTTAAAGATTTCAGGCCTATCTCCTGTTGTTCAGTAGTTTACAAAGCTGTTACTAAAATCTTGGTTAAAAGACTTACTCCTTTACTCCCTGATATCATCTCTCTCAATCAATTTGCTTTTGTAAAATGAAGGAACATTGTTAATAACACTCTTCTGGCTCAGGAGCTTGTTAAAGGATATGGTAGGAAATCTATCTCTCCTAGGTGCTAATTGAAAATTGACATCCACAAGGCTTTCGACTCTTTGCATTGGGGATTTGTATTGGTTGTTCTTAAAGCTATTGGTCTTCCTACTACTTTCATCAAGTGGGTAGAAGCTTGTTTCACTGGAGCTCATTATTCTATCTCGTTCAATGGAAGTCTCATAGGATATTTCAAATGAGCCAAAGGCTTATGACAAGGTGATTCAATCTCACCTTTACTGTTCGTCCTATCAATGAACGTCTTATCACAAATCCTCAACAAGGCTGCTCTTCGAGGTATTTTTGGCTTTCATCCTAGATGCAAAAAATTTGGTTTAACTCACCTCACTTTTGTCGATGATCTGCTTATTTTTTGTAAAGCGAATGTTGAATATGTTGTGGGAATTATTAGTGTTTTGGAACACTTTTATGTCATTTATGGCCTTAAAATCAATGCGCAGAAATGTGAATTCTACACTGCTGGAATATCATCTAGGCAAATTGATGAAATCAAGCGAATTACAGGGTTCAATCAAGGTTATCTACCTGTTAGATACCTGGGAGTTCCTCTAGTTATTAGGAAACTCTCGGACAAGGACTATATTGATCTTATTGATAATATCAGGGATCGTCTTCATCAATGGTCATGAAAACACTTGAGCTACGCTGGTAGATTAGAGCTTATAAAAACTGTTCTGTTAAGCATCACAAATTTTTGGTGTAGGCAGTTAATCCTACCCCAATCTATTCTAAACAGAATTGAGCAGCTATGTTCACGTTTCTTTTGGAAAGGTTCGGACAAGGCAGCTCTGGGTGCTAGAGTGAGCTGGAGAAAACTATGTCTTCTTAAATCAAAAGGGGATTTAGGACTTAAAGACAAAATCATGGAACAAGGCTTGTATGATGCATTTAATTCGGAAGGTGCTAGTGGGTGAAGGTTCTTTATGGATAGCCTGGATTAATAGTTATATTATTAAAAATTCTGATTTCTGGGACATGGAAATTGGTCTTAATATGAGCTGGAGCTTCTGAAGCTTGCTTAAAATGAGGCATCAAGCTTCGACTATTCTGTCCATGGGAGCTACTACTATAAAGGATATTTGGCTTCAAATCAGAAACAGGGAGGAGAAAATAAAATGACACAAGTTAATATGGTTGCCACTCTATATCCCAAAATTTAGCATTATTACTTGGATGGCTTTGTTAAATAGACTTCCAACTAAAGATAGATTGCTTGGAATGGGATTTGAAATTGATAATACATGTGCTTTGCAATGTCTCTTTGGAATCTAGGGATCACTTATTTCTTCATTGTCCTTTGTCTAGCTCACTATGGGATGCGATTTTGCACCTAAATGGCATTCGAAGAAGACCATGCTCTTGGGAAGAACACATATCTTGGACATGTGCTACATGGAAAGGTAAATCCCTACTAGATACTATCTTGAAGCTTGTTTGGACATCTTATACTATATGGGAAGAGAGGAACAAAAGATTATTTACAAGTTGCTGAAGATCTTTTGAAGCTATGTTCAACGCCATTAAAGATACCATTTCAAT